CGGTCATTATTTCTGTATCACACATAGAGCGGCCAAGTAACATTGTGAAGCTACCATGTTATTTCCAGCTCAATTGTTTCTTCTTTCCTGCAAGTGTAAATATTTTACTTTCTATTGGATTAATGTGGAATTCCAGGCAAGCAACTAAATATACAGTTGAAATGCACATCATGTACTTGCAAAAATATTTATATATATGCTCCTATAATTTACACATCTCTTTCACAATGCATAGCCAAGCTGGAAACAGACTGGTTTGAGTTTTGAGATCTGTGGAGTTTTGTAGTTTTCTGTGTCACATCTCCACCTCCAGCCTACTCATTGAACTCCATTATTGACTCTGATTATCTGCTGGTGCAGGGAGTTGTAACACTCAGCCAATAAGTAGTAGAATGATATTCCTAAGCTGGCCAAATGCTTTTATATGTCTTTCCTTTAGCCTTCAGGTTGCTGCAAGTGTGGCATTGGGAGGAGGGACATACATTTAGTTTTATTTATGTAATATGCATGTAGTGGATGGTGGCATGATTGGTGTGTCAGATGATGTGTTTGTCCCTTGAGGGCGTTGGTGGGTTCCTGACAATGCCATGTTCTTCCCTATGACGAAGAGTTGGACAGAGATGGAGAAGGCCAGGGTGGGACGTGGTTTTGGAAAGTTGTGGAGGACGAGATCCATTCACGGCCATTTGATATTTCATGGATGTACCCACTCAAGCCACTTGAATACCAGGGGTCCTGTGGCAGATATCATCTTTTGGGTCATTCCAGAACACTCCTAAAAACTGTACCAGATGTATTATGCATTATGTTTCATATTATGGCACTGCTTTATGGCAATTTGCACTAGTTATGTGTAAATTCTTGAGGGTAAATACATTTATGTATGGTGTTTTATCTTTTTGAGGCCCAAAGCTGCCTGTAAACAAAGCAGCGGGATGCTTGTTCTGACGTAATTTACCTTAGATAGACTCATAGCAATATTCTGTAAATGTAATTGCCCAAATATAGGCATGTAGCCATATAAGGTCATTGATGTCACTGTATATTGTCTTTTTGCTTACACCAAGCTGCGGGCAGAGAATTTTCCACCGTAGTGGATTGGGCGTCACAGAAGAAGCTTCCTTTCGTATTTGGAAGGAGCTCCATCTGGGGGCACACACACTTTTCGGGCTTGACATATTTAGTATCTAGTTAAGTTGATGCAACCTTGTCTTTTTTGTTTTATCAACACATTTGGAATTATTTTGCATTGATGTGCACTAAAATGAATTTGAATGTATTTTTTACAGAAAATGTGGGTTTGATAAACAGTTGCGCTAATATCAAGTGATATAAAAAAATTGCATTGAACATCATTTTATTCTTTGCTTTGCTTTAATAAAATATATAATTTTAGGGGATTTTTAGCAAAATTCGGGCCATTTTAACAGGTGGGCAAAACAATGTGCGCTCTGGCATCGAAAGGGTTCAATGGTAGATTTAAGTGACTCGGAAAAAATGGAGGAGGAAAATTGGGGAAAAAGAGGTAACAGTTGAGTTTTTATTCAACTGAGAGTTACGGTATTGTGTCTGCCAGGGGAGTTAGCTCAGGCAGTTTGTGTTATTTATCGTCTTCATTTTACTTTTCCCAAAATGAACTATAGAAAGTAAACGATGATCTGATTGTTTGCCATCATTTGGACATACTAATTCTCACTATTCTCACAATTTTCATACTTTTGGACCAGATGTTAAAGGAGAACTATGAGGTGAGTGATTCTCACTCAACCTCATAGTTCAAGCCGATGTGTGACAATGAAACTGTCAGGTCGGCTCTACAGATCTGGAAGTGAGCAAATGCATACCGCCGCTCGCTCACTTTCTGATCATCTCCCTGCAGAAAACGGTGACTGTCAGTCACAGTTCCCCGCAGGGATTTCCCCCTCTCCGCTCCGATCTTTCAGCGCTGACTGGAGAAACGGATGGGGGAGGGGGCGGGCACAGCTGGCTCTGCCTCTAAATAGGCAGAGCCAGCTGTCACTCACACAGCTGGGTGGATCTCGACAGCAATGTCGAGATCTGTCCCTGCTGCGGCACTCTCAGTAGATAGCAAGCTGTAGCTTGAAGTACTCAAGTAACTACTAATTACCAATACATAGCTTTGCTCCAATTGACACTAACAATTTAAGGTGTATTGTGCTCCCACTGACATTAATTTGGGACTCTGCTATTGGGCAGATCTCTGCTCTGGGTTCCTGTCTCTGCACACCCGCCAATATAAGGGGCTCCGCAATTTCCCTGTTGCATATTTAAGTTTTTTTTTGTAATGGGAATTGCTATAGGAGGTGTTAAAACAAGCAAAGGTGGGTGAGAACACCCAAAGTTGACACTGAATCGGGAATTATGGCAGTGAGAATTATGGCACTGTTCGAGTATCCAAAATCGTAAAATAGGAAGCAAAGTGCTGACTATACCAGGCTCCTATGATAAAAGAGCACTTTTGTGTGGACTGGCCCATTCACATTGTTATTTGTCTTTATGCTACTTTACTATGTTAATAAAATGAACTTCTTATTATTACTTTAAAAATGCTTAAAATGAGGCTCATGGCAGATGTCGAAAGCCACATAAAACTATATAAAATGTGTTAGCTACCAAAGAATATTTAAATCTGTGTAGTCTCCTGTGTGATTATACACACCTCTTCCATTCCATACACACCTCTGTCTGGAAGATTACTATATTTGTATTAGTATACTAATATTATATACCAGGGCTCAAAATTTCCACTCGCCTGCTCGCATTTGGCGAGTAAAAATAAAGTGAGGGCAAGTGGAAATTTGGGTAACTATATTATTTTATGTGTGCGGGGGGGGATTTTATTATTATATTTCTGCCTGGGGGGTGTAACGTTGAGAAGTGCACCTTACAACCATCGCACGACTTTCGTTATGCAATGGTTGTAAGGTCATTAAAATCGCGTACAATCTGCCCATCTTGGACAGGCAGATCCTACTTGTGATCATCGCAAGCCCTCCGATGATTACAGTGCTGACCAGCCCGTGCAGCATTCGTCTTCCAACCACGCCACCAACCCGCCAAAAATCGTATGATTTTCGGCACGTTTTCCAGCGTGCTTGGAAGACGAAAGTCGTACGACCTTACAGTAGAAGCGGTCGCACGCTGCCCATACACCTGCCGAATATCGTACGATCGCGGTATGACCCGCGATTATTGTACGATAATCGGCAGGTGTATGGACACCTTTAGTGTATGTGTACATTAGGCCCCATTCACACCTACAGTATATTTCAGGTGTGATTAGAGATTCCTGTGTCAGGAACCTGCGTTTTCCTGCTGCAGCAATCCCTAATCTGCAGACTACAAGCGGCAACTATAAGATAAGAATTATCATAAGATTATTTAAGAGGGTGTGTTTAGGGGCGGAGTTAAGACCGGGGCAGGGTAAGGGTTAGGTGGGGCAACTGGTGTCTAGTAACTCTTAAGGCCTGGCTAGTAGCTCAGGACTTGAAATTTTGAGCCCTGTTATATACTATACCATATATTCTGACTCCGATCGTTGTGATAGCGAGATATATCCCTTGCTGAGACCTCTATGCCTGGCCTGTATAAGCAGATATACTCACTGCGGACAATCATCGTCAGATAGCTGAACTCGTCAATACCGATTCATTCAAAAAAGGTGTTTATTCTTCTACATCAGGTTACAGCAGATGATAGGAACAGCAGTTGAACGGTTATAGTATTGTGCGGTCAGAAAATGATGCCTTTCCTACGTACTGTGCAGATTACATGTGTGTCCTTGTTACATGTGGCTCTTAAATGTGGCCATGACACAGGAAGTACTGCACACAGGAAGAAGGAAGGGGCGTACACTAGGGGGAAATACATCGTCACATGAGGAATAATTACAGAAAAACATGTACATTACAACAAAAGGCCACTAGATGGCAGCATAGGATAACACATGGATTTAGCTATGAGAAAATAGTTAGGCAAATCACACTATATAAATTCTAACCTATATAACAATGCTAATATTAACTGAGGCTATGCATCTCATATTCTATGCCCCTATTGGGGCGGCACACCATACTTCCCAACTTTCTGAGATCAGAAACAAGGATACCATTACATGCAAAGGGGAGAATTCATCAAAACTGGAGCAGACAAAATCTGGAGTAGCTGTGCATGGCAACCAATCAGATTCTATCTTAAGTTTGTTCAGTTAAGGTTTAAAAATGAAAGATGGAAGCTGGTTGGTTGCCATAGACAGCTGCTCTAGATTTTGTCTGCTCCAGGTTTGATAAATTCCCCTCAAAGTATGTAGGCAAATGACTCATCCCTGCCACGTCCCCAATTAAGCAGACAACTATGTTCCATCTAGTGGAGGGAATGCATTTGCCCAAAGTATGACTGGGCGAAAGTTTTATAACTCAAGCCCTTGATGTGGTATAGCACTTGTGGTAGTTAAGTAAAACATCAGAGGGATTTGGTTTCAAAATGGGGACAGTCCCTCCAAATGAGGGACAGTTAGGAGCCCATACTATACTATACTATACCTTACTATACTATACTACATTGTACTATACTATACTACATTGTACTATACTATACCTTACTATACTCTACTTACTATACTATGCTATAGTGTGCTATGCTATACTATAGTATCAGGTTCAACTCTACAACTTCCTTGGCAGCCTACCTGCTCATTGGAGCGGTGTGATGATGCTGATTCATAATCCAGTGGGCAGGCTGAGGGTGGGGAGGTGACACAGGAAGCTAAAAAACTAAGCCAGAAAAGAGTGGTCACCTGCATGAATATAGAATGTGTCAGACTGGAAATCACAGAATTAGAGTTACAGAATGGCCATGAAAACATTTTACATATCATTCACTTCATTTCTTATTCATCTGTCAGCATGCTGTGCTCTTGGAATTGTTAAAGGATCTGAGAAAAAAACCTTTGCCTAATATACTTTCATTCTCTTTCACAGGTTATATTAGATCAATTCAACCCAAGCTTAAAGAACTTTGTGACGACGGGCAAACATTATGAAAAAGCACTTTCAGGTAATTTGGTAAATCTCCAGTGTGTAGGAAAATCAAGGCATGTCTATATTTCTGTACTACTACAGCCCTTTGATCTAGAAATTTGGTAATTTACAAGTTTGAAACTGCATGGCACTGTACCTGCTGTTATTTATTTTCCACAATATTTCACTTTACATTAAGGGTGTATTTATAAAACATTCACTGAGGGTAACAGCTTTGGGAACGTCTACGTTTTAGATTTGCAGCGCATTATGGCCACTAAATGGATCCAAGGAGAATAGGAAATTCTCCTAAAGATGACCATACGCTATGTAAATCTTGGCCAGTTCTTGATATACTGTGGCTGAAATTCGCATAGCGGGTACTGCTGTCGGCCCCTTTTGGCCAGCATTCCTCAATTAGCTGTTCGAAGGAGCTGTATTTTTTTTTAATATATTCCCTCTGTTTCTGGGGTCTCAACATACCACTTTTCTCACAGTAAGACTCACATTGCCACCTTTGCATCCTCTTCTTAGAGTTATATACATGTTATTTACTCTAATAAAATCTTTTTAATTTATTAAACTCTTTTTTGCTCTTTCCTTTAGCACCCATTCCATTTTAGAGGGCGGTACCTCATTTCCAATTCTTACTAACTCTATTGACCATTGTAATCCCTTTACTTTTGTCTCTGTTTGCATTCCTCTATCAAATCTCTCTTTTATTATGGTCAGAACTAAAAAATATATATATATTTTTTTTTTTTGAGAGATTTGTTTAATACACTTAGATCACAGTATTTTGTGGACACTTTGATATATTAGGAGAGGAGAACTATGGGGTTAGGGCTTTTCCCCATAGTTCTCCTTAGTGTAACACAAACTAGCGTCCTCCCATCACCCTAAGCTCAATAAACCGCGAGCTACAGCTCGCGGTATACTGAGACGCCGCAGCTGAAGCGGATCCCGACAATTATGTCTGGATCCGCCCAGGTGCGTGAGTGACAGCTGGCTCTGGCTATCTAGAGGCAGAGCGAGCTGTACCTGCCCCCTCCCTGTCCGTTCCGCCAGTCAGCGCTGTAGGATCAAAGCAGGGAGGGGGGAATCCAGCCACTCCCCTGTCACGGCACGATCGAGAAGTGAGCGAACGCCGGTATGTGTTCGCTCACTTCCCGATCTACTGAGCTGACCTGTTACATACATAGTATTTGGGGTTGAATAAAGACATATGTCTATCAAGTCCAACCCATATAGGTCCACGCATCATCTTATTCTTAGGGATACTGGTATCCCTGGATATTACGGTCCCTCAAGAAATTGTCCAAACGTTTCTAGAACAAATCTACACTCTTGGCTGAAATCACTGCCGATGGCAGTGAGTTCCAGACCTTAACCGCTCTTACTGTAAAGAACCCTCTTCGCCCTCAAATACGACTTGCTTTTGACATCTATTTGAGACGCTTCTGAGATCATTTAGAATTCATTGCAGGTGCAGTTGACCTGCTTCAAGCTGCTAGTGTGTTTCTATAAACTATTTGCGTCTTTTCCGCACCCATTAGGTATAAATTAACAACCAAAATTTTAATTTAGCGTCTTTTCACATTTAAGTGTTGGCTGCTAAATTAAAATTTTGGTTGTTAATTAAAATAGATGTCAAAAGCAAGTTGTATTTATTTGCCCATCAAAGTCCCTCCCTAGACTACACTTTGAAGTGAAAGTTCCCCAAAAACTAATGAATCCCCAGCAGTGAGATTCTGTCTTCTTTAAAGAACTGACCTCCAGTTCTGTTCCCATTATGAGATAGCTGATCAGTAATATTTTCTAACTCACACTGAATTCTACTTTGTAATACATGGAGAAGTGGACAGCACTACTATAAGGCTAAATAAACATAACAAGGACTACCTATTTCAAGCACTCAAGTTTAGATAGATGTAATTATTATAGCACAGCAAGATGAAAAATATAGCTGTTGTCGGCATGTCTCCTACATTTGATTATCAGTGCATTTCACAACATGGAAAATTGGACATGGTATAGATATTATCTGGTGTTTTATTACTGGGAAATTTCTTGAAGAGGTGTATGTTATGGGAAATAACTAACAAATCGCTTACACGTGGCAGCTATATGTGAATTCCATTGCTAGCCATTCAAGTATTGGAAACTAAAAGAATGACAAACTATTTGGCAAAAGATAATTTGGTATTGTCCAAATAATTTTAGAAACTTTGGAAGTGTATGAAGAAAAATATTAAAAATGGAATTCCAGTGTGCTTGGGGAAAGACTGAGTTTTGATTTATCAAGCTGAGGTTAAAAGTCACATACCGAATAAATGCAGTTTTGTTCTTAAAATGTGTTATATCTAAACTGTTAGAAATTCCAGGCTTGAACCACATAGTAATATACATCTATCTCCAGTTTCATTGCCAGGTGCCTGGTCTGCAGTGGGAGCTGCACCAGGGGTAGCAAATACTACTGGACTCATGAGCTAGCTCTTACTCAGTAATGCTTATGTATTCCCAGTCATTGATCCAAGGGCAGCATTTGTGTAGCTGTTGTGTTTTTAGTTACATGGTTGTAAGTTTGTTAGGGGCCTGTGCCAATAGGATTTTGTTTGCATCAGGCAGGTTTTGCAGGCCCATACAAGCCTATAGAAATACAAAACCTGCTTGATGAAGGTCAAATGCAGGTCATAAGGAATTCAAATACAGGTCAAATGCACCTGGTAGTAAAATCTATCACCTTTGACCTGATGACCTTAGAAGCATCTCAAACTGATGTCAAACTGATGCCATTGACACAAGCCCAAAATCCGTTGACAGAGGCTTTTATAAAGTGTAAAGAATTTCTATTTATCATATGGTTATGGTTATTACTAACATCAAAGATATGTTTCAAGTTGTGGTACACATTTTGCTGGCCATACATTGGAAGCTTTTTCTTGTTGAGCTCTGTGGCCTTCCCTGCTAGTTATTGTAATCTGACAGCCAGAGCCCATAGCTGTCAGAATACCCAAACAGTGGCTGCACCTAATTGCCTGCAGTTAGTGTTCAGCCAACAATTTTTGGCTCAGCTCCCTCTGCAAAAGACAATTGATAATTGATTTTTGTTAAATGGAGGGATAGGGCCACCCACAGCCTAAAATGTTGGCCTAGTTAACAGACTGCTGACTTGGCTGAAATTCGAGCAGTGAAAAAATCTTAACTGCTGCAGATGTAAAGTACAAGTGCCTAAAGGAGGCTTGTATTAGCCTCTCAAATCTTCCTATCACAGCCATACTCTAGGCCATTCTGAAGGCAAAGCTCTGACACTTCCGTGTAGTGTCATAGGTTACTGCTAAACTGTGCCCCCTCAAACTTCTATTGGCCTATCCGTATGGTCAGCAGCTTACCTGGTCAATAGAAATGTGCAAGATGCAAGGACCATGAAGGGCAAAGCAAAAGTTTCACCTAACTCCCCCTCCCTTCTCCAGCAGCAGACTGTTCCCTTCTTTGTGTATCTTTGTTGCTCTGTTTGGCTACCAGGAAAAAAGAGAAGCATCCAGTACTTCTTGTTATAGGGAGCATGTGACACACTACATTAGTATGGTAACTGTAGGGATGAGCTCAGGTTTGGACCGAACCTGGTCCAGACCTGAATTCCTCAGTATACATAGGAAGCACCACAGTAACACAGAAGGAAGTTTTTTCTATGCCACCCAATCAACTGGGAGCAGGGAGTTACAGACCCACATTTTGACATAAGCATAGGGGCGGGATGCAGTGATGTAATTGACCTTAAATGGCTACATGCTTATATTTGGTAAATTAAATTTACCTAATATGGCAATGTGGTCTTGTAGACCCCATTCACACTGAGCTACATCCAAAAAAGCGATGTTTTTTTTTCAGCAGGATTTTGAGCTGATCGACATTGAGCTACAGTGCACATTTTGTCACGCTGCGTAGCGCGACTTTTCACAGGGACGTAGCTGCTACATTGGGCTGTGACCAATCAAAAACGGTCTTGATGTGACATCATTCCTTCCTTCTTATATGCCTGTGCAAAAGTGACACTTCTGTAGCGCGACAATGAGCTACACCATTCAAGTCTATTGGGCCAAATCGCACAAAATCCGCTGAAAAATAGGTCATGTTCGAGCTACAGGCGACATTGAGCTGAGATGTGAACAGCTCCATTGAAATGCATTGGACAAGCTACATTGACCGACATTGAGCTGATATTTGAGCGATTTTGGAGCTGAAACCACCCTACAAATCGCTCAGTGTGAATGGGGTCGTAAGGTAAATGTCAACAGTGGGGAATGCCCAGCTTGCAGCTGATTTGGTGGAAGTGCCAATGGCACTTCCTTGTTCGGAGGGGCTCAGGTTTGGACTGAACCTGAGCTCATCCCTAGTCATGGTCACAGATGTTTACTGCAGCTATCCTAATCTATGATTTCTCACTTTTAAAAATAAGGGGATACATTCTAGAACATAAGTCCAGAAAAAGTAAATTCATAATTTACTGTATAAATAACTAGCGACCTGAAACAAGAATGTGGCCAGTGAAGCCTGATCTCTTGCTTGGAATACTTTCTCCAGGTTCGTGACTCCCTAGTTCAAGGACCCAGAAGAATAAAGGAGGAACGTGATGATAGCCACGGAGCCATCATCTCCCATAAAAAAGGTCAGCGGTGGTTTTACTGCCCTCTGAAAAAGTAATCTTCAGTGGACAGCTGGTTTACAGGTGCGTGGGAGGCAATACTGCCACCCCTACAATGCCTGTTTTTCTTTTCTTTTTCTCTTTTTCCCAGTGGGGATTTTGCATTTTAATACTGTGCCACAAATGTGTGCCAAGTATTGCAAAGTAGTTGCGGTGTGGTCCCATTGACTTCATTGGTTGCATTTGGCAAGTGACAATACCTGCCAAACGCAGCATGATGTAAAAATTTGCCATTGTGGCCACCATGTTAGCTTTTGGGTGAGTGGTAAAAATGCACAACAACCACCTATGTTTACTGCTCCTTAGCTGCCCGTGTGAATGAGACCTCAATT